TCCCACATAGTGACCTAGATATGTGGGGGGGGTGTTAGAACGAGCCGTTATGGGGGGTGTGGCAGAGTCTTAACTTTGATAAAGAATATCTCTTTGGTTTTGAGACTTTAGTCTTTGCAACTTCAGGGATCTTCTCTATGCACAATCAGCTTGTAACACTCCAAAGAGAAAAGAAAACTTGAAATCGCATCATATGACCCCTTTAAGCAAGGAGTCAATGACAGTCAATGAAAGTTTTAAAATGAAATTAATGCTTTTATTCAGCAAGAATCCATTTTGTAATAAAAGTGACGGTAAATATCTTTGCATTACAAAAAATATATATTTCTTATAAATATGGAGTAAGGACATTTTCAGCTTTGTCATCACAGGAATAAATTATAATTGAAATTGTTAACATACAAAACAGTTATTTCAAATTGTAATAATCTTTCACAGTATTGCCATTTTTACTGTATTTTTTTTATCAAATAAATGCAGCATAAAAAAATCACTATCCCCAAACTTCTAAACAGTAGTGTATGTATTTTTTAATACGTCATTAAATGCCATGTCATTTGACTGTAGTTAATTTAATCACAAATTATTTTTTATTTTTTGATTGAGTGACTGAGCTGAGTTTTTGCTCGAGGTGAGTGTTATATGTGAGAGTGAGGTATTGTCCTGCACTGGCAATAACAAATGTGCCTCCTCATTTTCACTCTGGCTCTCTTTCCTCCTTTGCATTATTCATCAGGATCGTGAGAGCCTCAGTGGACACAGCGGCCATTCTGCTGACTGAACACATAACTATGAAAGTAAATAAGCTAAGCTTTCTGTGTATGCTTCATGAATGTGAGAAAGCCCATGAAACACTTCATTAAAATGTCGGGGGAAGTTTCATGCTTAACATTGAATCTTTTCAACATGGACGCATAATACAAAAGCTTGGCTCATGGCCATTTTGCACTTTGTTTTAAAAAGAGCTGAAAACACTCATGTCCAGTAATTTTGTCAATGTAAAATGAATTGCACTCATAATAGAGTGAGATGTAGGAGCAGTCATTCTAGCTGACCTTGTCGTATAATATTTCATCCTTACATCCACCACTGTCAGTCCCGGGGTTTTGTAAGCAGCCATTACTCCAGTCTTCAGTGTCACATGAGCCTTCAGAAATCATTCTAATACGCTGATTTGGTGATTGTTATTATCTATGCTAAAAACAGTTGCTCAACATTTTTTCGGAAACCGTGATACATTTATTTTAGCGTTCTTTTATGAGTAAAAAGTTTGAATTGGAAATCTTTTAGTACTTTATAGGTGTGTTTAATGTCACTCTTGGTAAATTTGATGCATGCTTGCTGAATAAAAGTATTAATGTCTTTGACCCCAAATGTCTGAATGTAAATATTGTGAGCTGAGGACAGATTTGTTTTAATGTTGTTTTATGATTTCAATGGAATGATCGTAAGAAAGGCTTAACAGAAAAGCAATAGATAACTTTCTCTTCGTTAGATATATTGGTCTTGGCAAAACATCCTATCATAAATGACACCAGTGTCCTGTTTACACTTTGTGTTACACTTGTGTTACTGGCTTAAACTGCAGCTAATAAGTTCTCAGTTGAAGCCAAGTGTCTTGTAGTTACTCAGACTGTCATTTTGACCTGCACTGTATTCCAAACAGTCTCAGTGCCATCACATGTCCACAGCAGGGTCTGTTTGAATGGCTCTGTGCTGAGAAGAGTAAACATTATCTTAGTAAACTCACATTCTCTGTTAGAGTGTGCTCTTAACAGTGTTCCTTTCAACAATAGCAGAACTCATCTGAATCATGTGAACATAGTCTTGAATTCAGAAATTATTCTAATATATTTATTGATTTGTGCTTAAGAAACATTTATTTTTATTATCAATGTTAAAAAATTGCAATATTTTGTTGAAATGTAGTTGTTTGTTGCTTCACTGTCACTTTTGATCAATTATTAAAAAAATAAAAGTATTAATTTCTTTCTTTCTTTCTTTTTTTTTTTTTAAAGAAAGAACACAATATATGAGGCATCCATGACAGGGATGGACACCAAAGAGTGGATATACATGTTCCAAAAATCTGCGAACACATTGGAATTTTTCTTTCATGTAAACATGGGAATACAGTAAAAAAAAACTTTTTATAAAAGTTGAATAAATGTTTTAGAATTTTGACAAATCAAAAAATTATGACATAAAATGGTTAAGACATATTTAACACAAGTGTAACACAATGGTTAAGACAATCTGAGACAAGATCTCAGATTCTGCGTTTTTATAATAACTAATTTTTTTAATTCAAATTTTTTAAAACAAAATTATGTTGAAAATTTTAAATTAGAAAAAGTGCAGATTAGGAGCTTTTATTACATGTGTTCTTGGACTCTATATGTAAAAATGCTACATATATTGAATTCACAGTATTTTTTCAATTGAAACGATTTTAATATTCAAACTTTCTCAAATCAACAACATAAATATCATATTTTACACATGATAATGGCTATCAGAAGTGTTTACAGGCATCTGAATGCATCTTTTTTTTATTTATAGATATCTCCTGGAGCAGGACTTCCCTGGTATGCGGATCGGTCCAGAACCCACAACTGACTCCTTCATAGCAGTGATGCATGGCACCATGGAGGGACTAATACCAGGAAACGCGCTGGTAATGGATCCCAAAAAACCCTTTCGGAAGCTCAACGCCTTTGGGAATGCCTTCCTTAACAGGTGGGATTAAAACAATTAAATTTATTGAAATTTACATATTTCAGCTAAACGTTGGAGCTAAACATTAGAGCTTTAGTCTGGGTAGAGCTTTGCATATGTAACATGGTCTTCCTGTCTTATGATGATGTCACAGAGGGGGGCTTGTTCTAGGCAACATTCCTTCTCTTGATTGAGTTTCCTCATGCTGTCTGATCCACTGACCTCTCGTCACGTGATTGAGCAACAGACAGATAAGAGGACATTATACCATCAAGCTCACCAGCATATTATTAAATGGGCTGAAAATTATACAACTATAAAAGTGTGTATGGTAGAGTGACAGTCCTTTATAAAACCTCCAAGTGATGCAATCGTGTGCATGTGATTATTTTTGCAGGTGGTCTTTGCTGTACTTCGTAGTCTGATGGTTTGGCAGGCTGCGCTGCTTGTTGTGCAAATCAACAGAAACTCTTGAGAAAATTGTCTCTTTGCCTTTTGCAATCTCAAAGCCTGCATATTTTTGAATATTTTTCATGTAATTCTGTCAGAAAGAGCAGCAGCAACACACTTTAAAGGAAAAGTTCACCCAGAAATGGAAGTACTGTCATGATTTACTGTTCCAAACCTAACTTTCTTCAGAATTTCAGAAAAGAGAATGTCCATATGAATGTAAATGGGGACCAAATAGTGAATTTAAATTTTTGGGTGAACTATCCCTTTAGCATCTGAGTTATGCTAAGAAATTCACTTTTTTCCCCACATTTTGGTGCATGGAAATAGTAAACATGCTCATGAGATATTACTTGTCATGCACCCTGTTTGGCTGTGGGTTTATGTCATTTGAAATGCCTGAGACAACTGCCCTGGTTTTCAGGTTTATTTTTAGAGATGTATATCATTTATGAATTCACAAATAGCAGCAGCTCAGTGTGCATGGTGTAAACTAGTACATAGAATTACACATCAAATAGTTTGACAGTGCAAGCAAAATGGCTACAAATATGGTTATTTTTTAAGTAGATTAATGTTTGGTTGTGGGTAGTTTACAATAGTAATTAAAACTCTTCTGCTTAACTTTCATATTTGGCCTAAACCGCTACATATATTGTACTAGCGTGTTGTCTGGTGCCAGATGTTCAGTAAATGTACATGCTAGAATGTGTTCTTAGACTAAATTTGTTTGTGTCCAACAAACACTGTTATAGTAGGGACTGTCAAAATGAGAATAAATAATGTTAGGATAGGTTTCCCTAGCCTGAGGTCCTTAGTGATTCACTCCAAAGCATGACACACTTTGTCTGGGCCTAGTTCACACACTAAGCCACAAAAGCCATGCATACTAGTTTTTGGCTTGCGATTAAAGAATTTCAGAGCAGACTTTTTTTTTTCAGGCTGTAAAAATGTGACGTCGGTCTTGGTTTTTGTGTTTTACTATGTTCAACTTGGTCAAACTACAGCCGTAGATGGAAACAAATGAATGATTTATGGCATTCTTCTCCATGTCTTCATGCCAAGTTACTACAACTTCACAGTTTTGGATATTTAGGACTTTTTCAGTGTGAAATCAGAGCTTGTTTTACTCAGTATGTGTGTGTGTGTGCGTGTGTATATATATATA